ATATAATACCTTAAGGTGTGTTTAAATCAGCTGTATTAAAAGTAATTCATTTAGAAACTGAGGTTTTTCTGATACAATAAATTTTGCAGTGCTCAGATAGCATTTAATTTAGTAGATCTTGCAATATTGTGGAAAAGGTGTTTTTTTTAGGATTAAAAAAAGAAAAGTCTGTATTTTTTTTGATGATTCAGTGACACTGACTCGTTTTGTTTGCAGTTAAAACAGAGCCAATGAGCAGCAGTGAAATCGCCTCCTCAGTAGCAGACAGCGCTCTGGACAGCTTCTCAGGATCAGGTGAGCAGAGAGGGTCGGTGTGCACGACTGCATGTGTGTGCACTAGTGTGTCTGACTGCTTCATGCACACACACACACACACACATGTGCACATGAACACACACACACACACGTGCACACGAACACACACTCTTGACAACAACAGAACTGATGATGACGAGCCTGGAGATGGACAGCTGATAAGCCAGGCCTCAGGAAACGGCCGAGCAGCCAAAACGGCYGTGTGCAAAGTGTGTTTCAAAACGAGAGGCTTTGTCAGCATATTTATATGCTGTGCTTGCTTACTTGCGTGTGTTTGTGTGTGTGTGTGTTCTGCTACCCGTTCTGCTGGTTCCCATGTCAGTGAGGACTGAGTTATGACCTGCAATGCTCTGAGCCTGTCTGTCCAGTGGACTGACACGGCGTCCCAGTAGCCCTCACTCTCCATGGACTGTTACCTTATCACCCTGTCAGTTTTCACACCCTCCTTTCAAAAAAGAAACATCCACACACACACACACACACACACACACACACACACACACAAACATAAAGAAGTTTCTAAAAAAAAAAAAAAAAAAAAAGACCAAGGCTACATTATATAATGAGCATTGTGGTAAAAATGACATTTAGTGTTTCAGATTATTTCACTCTAGTTGACATGTGTTTTCTCTAGCAGCACATCCACATGATATTATCTTGCTGCTAATTTTCCTGTATTTTCTCAGCTATTTATCTAAGTACTTGATACCTAACACTCGCAGGGCATAAATAACTGTATGACTTTTGTCTCTGGCGATATTAATGAAATTTAGTAATCGTAYACCCCACATCCTCCGTGGGGAAACCCAAAGCTCTGCTCAGAGGAGAAGGTTTTGTCCAGTGGCAGGTGCTGCCGATGTGGGAAAAGTGTTCAGTATTAATAACGTGTGTGAGGGGTTACGACACACAGTTTCTTACAGTTAACGAAATCCCTCATTTTGCATGTCGGGAGCAATTAGGCAGATGTTTCAGAACGTTCCATTCTTGGGCAGCTACATGCAAAATAAATAAATCAAAAGCTTTGGTGAAATTTCAAAATATTTTTAAATTAAATGTTACTTTCTTCTGTTTTAATTTGGGAGTTTATAATTATTTTTTAAATAAATTCCGCATATTTAATTCAGTTATATGTTGTGGATTAATTCAAATTTTTGGTTCTTAATTTATTATATTTTTTTGAATTATTTAACTAAACCTATTTGGAGCTCAAATTATATGAAATATGTATGTATATATAATATATCTATATAATATATCTATATAATGTATCTATAATATATATATATAAAACCAGATAAAAAACATCTTAAGTATATTAAATTCACATTTAAATCAAATATGCTTGTTTCAGAGCAACGCTGAGGAAACACACACTGTCAGTGATTTAAGAATTTTTCAGTAGCGCTCTACCTGCAGCAGGAGATGTCACATCCAATGTTCTTGTGGTTGAAAAGGTCCAAGGCAGCAGGAGCTATGGACCGTGGTGTGGGTTTTTACACCTCTGCTCATCAGAGCAGAACTCACGTCAGCACCAGAACCTGACGTTCTTACCCAATTATTTAGCTTCATTACTGCGCTCCAGTTTAAATCAGTTCACCACAATAAATAGAGCAAAGCAATGTTATTCCTCTTTCCTTGGAATCCAGCAGTTCTTTTTGGCAGAGTGCTATATTTACCTTATTTCTTAATATTTAAATATGTGCTTGCCTCTTTTCTTTTTAACTCTCCTCAGCTATTGGAACCAGTGGCTTCAGCCCAAGACAAACTCACCAGTTCTCTCCACAGATTTACCCGTCCAAGTAAGGTTTCTTTTATTTTTCTATTAAAAAAACAGCATCCAGATTCATTTGGACCTGTAATTAGATCCTTCTGCTAGATTGAGGCTTTCTGACTGGCTTTGTTTGCTTGGATGTCTTCAGTTTGTGCACTCTAAAATCTGTTGTAATTATTATCCTGCAAGAATTTCCTTTGTCATTTATTGTTCTTTCTCTCTGTATACGAGCTGTGGGATGTTGTCCGTCTTATAGCATGATTGACTGTTGAGGGGGGAAAAAAGAAAAGAAAAGCAGCCCAGTCAGAAGGAATTTCTCAGTTAGTAAAGTCGATATTGTGGATTTAAGAGAAAAACTTGGCCCTCGCTCTTCCTGTATTATTTTCCTCACTTATGTTATTGTTTCTTTCTTCTAATAGCAGGACGTATCCACATATTCTCCCCACGCCTTCGTCTCAAAACATGGCTGCGTATGGACAGACGCAGTACACCACAGGAATGCAGCAGACTGCAGCGTATGCTAGCTACCCCCAGCCTGGACAACCCTACGGCATCCCAGCTTATGGTAAGATTTACATCTAGCAAACGTGAAAGATAAGAATTGAACCATTTTAATGAACGTAAGTCAAAACAAAGAGCCACCAAACCACGTTCCCAGAGCGTCAGAGCTGCTGAGCTGTTGTTTAGTGCCTGTATGTTCTCTGTCGGTGCAATAAAGTAGAATTTGCTTGTGAAGCCTTTTCTGATAGATCAGAAAGATTAGCGATGTAAATCTAAAAACAGAAACCGGTTTTCTCTGGCGTTGCAAATGGAAGCTCACAGTGCATGGCTTTATTTGTCCAAAGTCTGTGAAAATTTCGGACCCCTAAACATTCTCCAATATGTGCAGGAATTTACACTGTTTATTTGAATGGAGTTCTGCCGCATAGAAACGACTACTGAGGCCGAATCAGCCAAGACAGTGGTCAGTGTAGCTCACAAACACGAGCCAAATGTGTCATTACTTGTGCATCGGTTCGCTTGTGACCTACATGGTAATAATAACAGCTCTTTTTTAATTTTATCAGTAAACAAAACAATCGCAGCACAAACACAACTTTGTTTTTACAGCCAAGCAGTCAGCTCCTTCTGTGACGGGACCCAGCGTGAGATATTATTTCTAAACCGCAGAGAATAGTGAAAATCAGTTATCAGATAATCACAGCTCATCCATTGTGATTAGTGTGTCACGCTAACAGACAGTGTCTCTTTGCTGTGTCCAGTGTAATTTAAAACTGTGTTGACTCTTGTCTGTGCATCAAACCGATCTGGTGTCACTAACTGATTTAGGTCCATTGTGGGCAGGCATAAAGACCGAGGGGGGTCTGAGCCAGTCCCAATCCCCGGGACAGACAGGCTTCCTGAGCTACAGCTCTGGCTTCACCACGCCGCAGACGGGACAGGCCCCCTACAGTTACCAGATGCAGGGTGAGGACATCTTTGTGACTTCTGTGTTTTCTTCCAACTTTGATCGGCAAACTAAAAAAAAAAAACCCAACACACAAAAATGGTAAACAAGTTGTACAAAAATGTAAAGCACGTTTTGTTTAACCAGCACTCTTAAAACATGGTTAATTTGTGTTTTCCCTTGCTGTTTTATCTCGTCGAGTATCTATGGTAGTTCAGTCTTTGTCTAAATATTCCTCCTCTGGTTACCCAACCGAATTAGGTTTTTTTGTACTGTTTTGAAAACAATTAGAGAAACGGGCCTCTGTTTCTAATTTAATAGCACACACAGCCAGACCGACTCAAGACGCAGATCTTGTCCTCGCTTTAGACGATGGTTGCATCCCTGCGGAGTAATGTGCAGCCACGGAGACTGCCTCCCTCTTTTCTCCTCCTAAAAGAATCAACACATATGGAAAAAAATGGCAGGCGCTTGGGAGGCATCAGCCATGTCGCTCCCCAGCCTTTGTTTTTTCTCTCCCTGTGATCATATTTGTATTTGTTCAAGCGCTGAGGCCGTGGAGATTTATGGCCTTGAAACCAATAAAGATGAGTTGCTGCGAGTGCTGCTCTCCCGCTCTTTGGCTCTTGCTGTGCAGTCAAACATTTAGTTTAACAGTGACCAGGCTCTGTGCTGAATGTAAATTTCCTCTGGTTTATTTTCTTCAAAAAGCCCGTCTCACCTGCGCTACACTATGCAGAGACGATTAGCTCTGTTTCTTTTCTGAAACGTCCAAAGTTTGACATAAGAAATATCTCCACTTGTTGCTGAAAATCAATCAGCAGCAGATGCTGCTGGGGTAAATCTACTTTTTTATGCCTTTTTAACCAAATGCAGTTGGTCACAGTCAAAGTTCCGCAGTGTGCGTCCGGGTGCCTGAACTTGGCCCAGTAGAGTGAGAGCAAAAGAGGGGAGGAAGCAGCGGAGCACGTGGAGCAAAATCCAAAAGCTGCTTCTCTGGGCTCAGTAGTTTAACTCACGATGACAATATTATGTTCCCATTCATCTTCTAAGTATTAAGCTTTAACTCTGTTTTTCTTTTTCCCCTTCCATCCGACTCAGTCTCACTCGCTCCTGCTATCTCTGGCTATCACGTGCCCCACGTTAGCATTAAGTGCGTTCGTAATTGACAGCCTTGTTAGAAGACAGATTGGCCACTCTTCTGGCTCTGGGTTCTCTAACTGTGGCTCTGGCCGTCCGCCACGCCATCATCATTACTCTTTCTGGCCTATTGATCTGCCTGGGCGATGTGCCTCAGGCCTGGGTGTCCCGACCAAAGACTTTTTCCACATCTGATACGCCTCCCTCTGTCCCATGTCCCCTGCAACCAGCTTGTGGCCAGCTGTCAAGTCCGAGGACGATTAAATTATTGTTTTGGCTTGTTGCTTTCATGTCGGAGCCCGTAGAGTTATGTGTGGGTGCTGAAGTTGTGGCAGCAAAATTGTAAACAAAACAAAGGTGTTTTGGGGGCATTCTGTTGTGATTTTTTTTCCCCACTCTACGTCTACTGTTTGTAAAAAGCTAAAACATAAAACGTGGTTGAAGAAACAAGGACATCACAGGGAGACTGAGCAGATGTTAATTAGGTAAATAATTGGATTCCAGCATTCTGTCCCAAATGATCACGCTTTCTGAAGAAGCTGAAGCCATGGTTACCTTTTGTTTTAAGTAGAGCCCCATCTGGACTTGATAGTCTATTCCCAAGTGAGGCATAGGAACTTCTGCTACAAATATTGTACACTGATGATAGACATAGCCCATGGCAAGGGGACTGATCAAGCAAAGCAAATGGACTTCCAATTGTGGAGCCAGAAGGCAGGAGGGAAGGAGGAGAGGAGGGGCGGGATGGTGTCTGGTCTTGAGTGAGTGAACTAACTGCAGAAGGATGGTGGGGGGGAGAAAACATGCCCCCCGGGGAACCACAACCCCCCCACCACCACCTCTATAACCAGCACCACCACTCCCCAACATCATGGGCTTATTCTCACCGGGCTAGCGGGGGTCTCTGCAGCTTTTATGTGGCTGCTTGTTCTCCACAGAGCAACCCTCAAACGCTCCCAGTGAGAGTTTTTATGACTGTTTGAACTGCGTATTAGGCTAATTTGTTGTCCTTCACAGCCTCGGTCCTCCTCRGCTCGGCTTTATTGTTCCAATGCACTTTGACTTGCTGTTGAACTTTCTACGGAGAGTTTTATAAATACCCCTGTTCACCTCGAACCATTAAACAAGACAACAAAAAGAGAAGTGTTCTGAGAAAAAAAATACTGCAGGAAGAAAAAGTGGAAAAGCAGAAGCTACATAAATCGTTTGTCTAATCTTTAGATACTTTTTTTCTTCTGTTTTTAATTGTTGTGCTAGCTGCATAATGGACAAGGCCAAGCCCTGCACTGTTTTCTTTCTGTGTTGCTTTTCATACCTTTCATTTCCCCTGCCACACTGCACCTCCACCAACGCACACACTCAACAGTGCTTCTACCTTTTCTGAAAGCTGCTTCACATTTGTCATGGTGTGGGAGAGCCGTCCTGCRGGGGGGCCAACGACCAGGGCATGAAAGGAACTCCCCTCTGTTTGTCTCTGACAACAAAGGTGTAATTATGCCCTCATTTAAGAACAGTAAATTTATCTCCTGCCTCATTTTCAGTGTAATTGAGGAATACCTTTTTGACAATGGGAGGATCTTGAAGGATGGCAGACAGGGAAAGACGACCCTCAAAGTGTGCCTTTAATGTCCCCTTAATGTTTTATGCTTCTCTAATTTTGTGGACATAAATTAGTAATAATATACAATTTTAAGTCTGTGTTGTGACAATTTAGCTTATTGTGCTTTAGTTGTAATGAAACGATTGAATTGCAGGCTGCTAGACACAGGAAAAGCTGTACTTTATCT